TTGCTCTCCTTCGACGCAACATCTTTTTATCCCACAACCCCTTTATAAAAACCCATGGCATTTATCTTCAATCACACTAAAAATTCATCAAGTTCTCTCTCTTGAAGTTCTCTCTTCTCTCTCTCTCGCTGCCTCGCTCCTCTTCAAAATTCAAATTTCTAATTCTTGTCATCAGAAATATGCTGCTGATCCAGGAAAACGATGACGTGGGCTTAACCCAGCCTGATAAGCCGATAAAAATCAGAGAAGTTTGGGCGGATAACCTTGAGTCCGAATTCGAATTAATCCGTGGGGTTGTGGATAAATACCCATTTATCTCAATGGATACTGAATTTCCAGGGTGATCTTCAAGCCGGAAAAGGCTTCTTTTGGTTACCGGAAAAAGCTTCTGCCTTCCGATCACTACAAGTTCTTGAAGAGGAACGTCGACGTTTTGGAGCTTATTCAGTTGGGTCTTACTCTCTCTGACGAGAACGGCAACTTGCCGGATCTGGGCTGCGGCGAGAATTGTCAGTTCATCTGGCAGTTCAACTTTTCCGATTTTGACTACGAGCGTGACCTCACGCCCCGGACTCCATAGACCTGCTCACGCGCCACGGCATTGACTTCGAGAAAAACCGGGATTTTGGGATTGACTCCGCCCGGTTCGCCGAGTTGATGATGGGCTCGGGCTTGGTGTGCAACGACTCAGTGAGTTGGGTGACGTTTCACAGTGCTTACGACTTCGCGTACTTGGTGAAGATCATCACGCGCTGCGCGTTGCCGGAGGACTTGGATGAGTTTTTGGAATACATGAGGGTCTTTTTTGGAAATAAGGTGTATGATGTGAAGCATTTGATGCGGTTTTGTGCTAGTTTGTACGGTGGGTTGGACCGGGTAGCTAAAACTTTAGAAGTGAACCGGGCGGTTGGAAGGTGCCATCAAGCAGGGTCCGATAGCTTGCTGACTTGGCATGCTTTTCAAAAAATTAGAGATGTATATTTTGTAAAGGATGGAGGGCCGGAAAAATATGCCGGTGTCTTGTATGGATTAGAGGTGTATTAAACATGGATGTGTTAATTAGTTTTGCTGATCATTATTTTAATGACAATTGTTTAGTGGATTCTTTTTAGAAATATAACGGTTCAAACAATATTCTTTGCTTAATTATTTGTTTTCATGGTACGGGAATTTTAAATCTACTCAAATTAGCATCTTAACTCTGAAAGTATCAAGTAAACTTTTAGCATTCAGTTGGCTAGTACGTTTTTTTTTTTTTTTTTTGGATGTTTGTCTGAAATATTTTATTGTAGTTTATTATAGAATTTTTAGAAAATCTTTTTGTTTTTTGTAGGATAGTTGTAGAACTTCGAGGAAAGGTGGTGGAGTTGGATGAAAGAGTGGCGATGGTAGCGAAAGTGAGGGGGAAGAGTGGCGGTGGAGATGGGGAGGTGATATGGTGAGGGAGGATCGTGGTGGAATAGGGAAAGGAAAGTGCGTGTTTGGTATGTTGGGTATGTTTACAGTGAGCGAGGGTAGTTACGGAAGAGGGAAAGGAAAGTGTGTTTTTGGTATTTTGGGATATGTTTTTGATATTTTATGGTATTTTTTTTAATAAAATTTGAGATGTGTTGGTAAGTTATTACAGCTAAATTTGAAGTTAGACAAGGCAGCATTTCCTGATTTCCAGAATCGTTAGTTTCTGTTTAAAACCTTAGAATCAAGTTTAAAAACTTTTGAAAAGTAGAGCCTAAATTAGCTCTTATAAGGATGGTTATGGTTACGGTTCTTGAACCTTCGATTTTGATCTGATTTCGGTTTTGATTTTATTTTGATTACAGCTCCGGTTGCTTCCGAATACAGTTTTCGATTCTTTTAATTATGTTTAAATACTTATTGTTATAAAATTGATTCTAAGAAAATATGATAATGAATATAGAAAAAAAACTTTATTGTATTACCATGCACAAAACAAAAGAAAAACCGATCCAATTTTATGAAAAAAAAATCTCAATATTGATTAGATTAGATTGGTTTTGGATATATATTAGTTGTGAGGTTCAGTCTTACTAATTAGATGGGACAATGAGTTGTTGGGTTAGAATTGGAATTGTCAGGCCTTGCTTGGATTGTTTGTTTTCGTCGGAAAATATTATCGTTTTTCGTGATCACATTTCCCTATCACATTTTTCCTTCACATATATCAAATTGTTACAGTAATTTTTCATGAAAAATGACGGAAAATGCAATCCAAACACAACCTTAGTGTTAGATGCTAATTATTGATATTGAACTATAAACTGATCAAATAGGTATAGATGGGGTTGCTTTTGAGATGGTTTGAATTGATTCTAAACTGCCAATTTCAATTCTGTTTCAAAATTTTAGTGAACTTGAGTATGAACCTTTAATCATGGTTATGGTCCCACTTTTGGTTTGTAAAATCCAACTCTAAATTCGGTTCAACAGATCATCGGTCCGATTTTAGTTTGATCCCAATTCAAACCTGAATTTATGACTGTCCTTAATTATAATAAAACTTTTTCTATTAAAAACACGCAAAAAAAAAAAGGAGTGCCAAACAAATCCTTAGTTTTAGTTTCGGTAGATGTTGTAGAACTTGAAACCTTAGGAAATTTTTCTGATGGTGTGATGAAAATTGTGTTGACTTTTCTAGTTGAGTTGACAAAACAAAGGTTTGCACCTTTCTTTTCCCCTTTCCAACAATGGCAATAAGTGATTTTAAAACAGTAGTGTTAGTTTGTACGTATTGATCATTAGTAATGACAAAGTCTCTTTGGTTGCTAAGTTAATTGTGTCCAATTAGTGAACTATAAATGCACATCCATGGATCGTATTTTATGTAATAGCCGATATCTTTTGGCTGTCACAGAAGGCTAGGCTCAAGGAACCGGTATATGAAGTACTCCCTCCGTCCCACTTTGATAATCCTTTTTTTTTTTTTATACAGTTTAAGAAAAAGTAGTTAATTTTGTTGAAAAAATAAATTTAGATTGCTATTTTTCGAAAATACCCTCACATTAAATAGAGTACAATTTTATAGAAACTTGAATTGATCGTAAAAAAAGAATCAACTCTCATTAAATGGGATAGGTTTATAGTAACAATAACTTACATTAAATAAGGGTATTTTAGAAAAATTAAAATATAACTATATTCTTCAATTGGAAAGTGGACTATAATTTGAAATAGACAAAAAAGAAAACAGGACTATTAAATTGGGACGGAGGGAGCAGTAACTTATTCTGTTAGGTGAATGTTCATTTTGACAACAATTGAATGGCATGGTATAGTTGCAGTTACAAGTGCACCGATCCCGCATCCACTGGTACCAGTTTCAAGGACACAAATCCATGATTGTTTCCTCTTCTATATAGTCAAATCCAGAAGGCAAGGATTTCCTCTTTTATATTTTTATATTTATACTAATAAATATAAATATAAATATATAATATATTATTATATACACATATAATATATATTTATGAATAATGTAAATATATTATTATATAATATTATGTATATATTTATAATAAATATAAATATAAATATAAATGTATTTATAGATATTATATGTGTATATAATAATTATAAATATAAATATAATATATTTTTATTATAAATACATCATATAATTATACTAATATTATAATAAAATATATATTTATAAATATAATATATATATTTATATAATTAAATATTATTTTTTTAATAGGTGACGGGGCAAGCCCCATTTCTATGCGCTTTGTGGGGGGGGGGGGTGGAATTCCCGCCACTCCATTAGCCTTCAATGGGGCAGGTGCCCCAATTGCCATCTCTAGTTTTCGATAAATTAGATAGGAATCAGATTTAGTTTTTGTTCAAAACTTTCCAAGCTACTAGGAAATTGGGGAATTTCAAATTTTTAGATATAATTTCAAAATCTCAATTCCTATAGTAGTAATCCAAATAATAATTATGAAATTTATTCCAATTTTCCGCTCCGAAACCCTCTTACCGACCAGCACCTAAGATTAAAAAATGCAAATAAACGTAAATATACGGCAGAATGCATGAAGGACTGGTGTGAACTTCTTTAAAGTGATTTTATGCTAGGAATGAATCTAATTAGAAAGCGAGGGGTCCAATTATAATCCTTTAGATGTTTGTTTGTTACATTCTGTACAAAAGTATTTCTTGCCGGCTAACATATATTAAAAGGCAAAAGTAGTACACCGTAGAACCCCAAAAGCCCACGATTTGGAAAAGTTAGGTAATTGGAGGAACATACTCTGCTCACAAACAGCTAGACTAATTAATCTTTTCTGTTTAATGTCAATTTTTCTCCTTCCAAATTTTGTTGGTAATAAAAAGATAAGTTTGAATCCTGGTTAACTTCCTATCCCTTGAACTCCGTGTTAATCTCTACTTAATTGGAAGTGTATGCCAAAAAATGGAATTTTTCATTTGTCTCCAATTGCAACAAGGTAGACCATAGATACAAAGTCCAATTTAAGGTGCAAAGTTGTACTACAATTTCTCCAAGCAGAAAGCATTTTCTGTTCTAAATCTGATGGAGAGGAGCACTTCCAGTGAATACTTAATGTTGCATGTGAAACTTCTTAACTTTCCCCCAGTTTGGAGTTTTATTAGGTACAAATAGTTAAATATTCTGCCTAAAGAATACTTTTTTTTTTTGAAACGAAATATTACAAACACACACGCAAACAATAAGAGACACGCAGCAAGCGCAAGCGGAAAGCTCTGAGGAATACCGACCATTGCCTAAATGTACCAAAAAAATCTACCCCACTAACAAAATTATTTTATTGCATTACACCTTTGGTGATCAAAGATATTAGCAAGAACTCAGTTTGACATTCCAACTTCCAAGAATTTGCCTCTTTCCTCTCTTTCTACACCCAAATTATAGAAGAACTAAAGATGAATCAGGATTATCAACTCTAATACTAGAATCAGGATCACAAATTCCAATAGGGATACCACCATAAAATCAAAACTTAAAGATGCACAACCCGCAAGAAGAATAGGATGAGCATAAATGAAGACCATTCATAGCCAACTACTTGGCACCAATAATAATACATAGCTTGCACTAAATGTCATCAAACTGGAAACTTTTGGATAGTCAGAAAATTTCCAGAAAGAGAATACAGTAAAGATTTCTGTCATAAACTTCTTTTCATCATCTGATCAGAGCATTAAAGCTCTTGCCTCCTCCTTACTTCCATGTCTTGTTTCATTACTACATTGCATTTAACTCTTTTCATCAGTTCATCTAACTTCTTCCCACCATCATCATAGCTGGTACTAACAGTTCCGATTCTGCTACACTAATGACCAACACCATATTAGTAGTACCAGAAGAAAAAAGGGAAGATACCATTCAACCTTTATCTATCCATAAAGGTCTTCATATCATACTAATTTGTTTATTCCACCATGACATTGAATTTCTTGTTGCTGATTTTTCTGCTTGTTTGCGGGATCAGATTTCTCGGAGACAACCCCATTCCAGATGTCCATAAAGGCATTGACAATGATTTCATGATGAGAAGGAGAATTAAGACGAAGAAAGCAGCTGAGAAGCTCTTGTAGATCATCTTTTGAGTAGATTTCTTTCTCAAGAATCATTTGTAGCATTGATTGGCGAAAATCTTGATAAGGGTCGTCAGACTCCTTGACAACTGCAACACTATCACCAAATTTGGGCAGTGGACTGACCATTTTAGAGCTGCTTGGAACATTGAATTGATCCTGCTCAGAACAATGTGTTAACGTTGTGGAAGTATCATCGATGGAGTTTCCACCACCTCCTCTATCCCAGGAGCTTGAAGAAGAGTGATAAATAGGTGTATTGCTTGAGGCTTTACCCTTTGGTTTTGGCTCAATTACTTCATTAGGCTTTGGCTTCCCACATCCACATCCTCCATTAGCTGTAAATATGGCCTTAAACATTTGTTTGGTCTTGCTGGAAGACATTGAAGAAAGAAGGTGGAAGAAATAGGAGAAGGAAAAGCCAAAACTTGATTTGTGAAATAATTTAAAAAAATTCTAGTAGATATTTGTCATTTTCAGTATTTGATTGGATGTTGAGAGGATGGAGGGAGTGGGTTTGGAGGTGTAGAGGCTATGCGTATTAAATCTCACCATGCCGTAGGGAATAAGGAAGTTGTAGTTTCTTTGAAGTATCAAATTGTGATGGCAAAAAGCTTTCAAATTAAGTGTATAAGTACATATGTATTGATTAATCCGCAGGTCGATTCGGTTAGTCTTATCTTGATAAGGAAAATCTTAGCCATGAATTTGACTGGTATTCAAGCTTTCAAATAACATCAACTCTTTATAGATAATGAACATCTTATCTATATATAGCTTATGCATGTATATTTTCTTTGGTCATATGGTGATTTGCATTGTTCTAGAGGTTTTAAATCTCATATCCTATACATACTAAGTAGTGGAATCGAATGGTAGGATTTTAAACAATAATATTTGTCCAAAAACAAAAAGGATTTTAAACAATAGAAACAACAAAAGGTCCATTAATTTGCAAATGACAGGTAGGTGACAGGCGGTTTAAGGTATTGTGCTCCTCTTGGAAGAGACGGTTAAGGTCCTAATCTTGGATAAAGAAAGAAATGGCATTGCTCTTGGAAACAGTACCATTTTATTCCTGTATGCTCTACAAACATAGATTTGCATGTGCTCGTGTGGCCATGGGAAATGAATTGGACAAAGTGGGACAAATGGAGGTTCATTTTCAGCCTGTGACCACTTTTAATTAAGACCCATTAATCCAACAAAATTGAGACAAATAAAAGCCAAAATTAAAAGGTAAGCAATGGGGTCGACAGGTCTTTCTTAATCTAGACCAAAAAAAAAAAAAAAAAAATCCGCTATGTCACATCCATGGTTCAAGGTTTTGATGCATATGTGTGTGTGTGTGCTAGCATTGTGTATTATGTGTCCAATTAAGCAGATAAGTATGTTCTGAAATCTTAACCACTAAAAAGTGTATTTTGATCCTTAACCATTTATTTACTTTATCTTTGTCAGTTTAGATTTTAATTTCTTTAAAGCCAACTTAAGTCATGATATCAATATGTAGAGATGCAAAACTATATATGGGATGCAGACTAGTTGTTGTTGTTGTTTTTTTTTTCCCCTGTTTGTGCTAGGAGGTCCATAAATGAGAAAAGAACTGAGATTCTATCACAACAAGGTTCAAAAAATGAGGACGACGCATGCTAGATGAACTCATCTTTCCCATCATGTGCTATTAAATTGCTTCTTAATGGAGTTTGATTATATATAGTATATGTAGACCAACTTGACTAAAAATAAAGAAACATTTTGCACTCAAAAACATAAAATGCATGTAAATAAAAGTATGGGGGAACTAGGTTTGTGCTGTTTTTCTTTGAAATCAATGAAGATTTTGAGATGGATCTTTAAGAAATAAATGAAGGTTTTGGAAAACTCCAACATGATTGTCCCTCACCAAATACATAACTAGTAAACCAATTACCAACACATACAATAATAAGACAAACAAAAAATATGTGTGGTGCAGAATACAAGAAAAATGGACATTCAATAAGATGGTTGTCTCAAAACTTGATTACAGAACCTTCAAAAAAGCATATGTTAATACATGTTTTGATGTATCTACTTCCTTTGCCGTCTTAAAAAGTATGACATAGATTGGCTGTTGAAATTGCATATCCATCCAAATTCACCTGCATTTCCATAATTTGATTCCTTTCATCCAACTGCTATTATAGTTACAGTCTAACAGATGTTAAGCATGCATGCTACAATAGTTAAGGAAATGATTAAAGGTCTACAATGGTTAATGAAATAATTAAGGATCAGTTTTGAGTGAGACGTTTCTAGTGTAAGGGTCAGTTTTGAGTGAGACGAATCAAGTTTATCTTAAAAGATTAGATAATGCAATTATTGAATGAGAGATATCAAGTTTATCTTATAAGATTAGATAAGGCAATTATTGAATGAGAGATACCAAGTTTATGTTAAAAGTGGATAATGCAGCACAAGTCAACTAGACTAAATTTGGCATCCCTTTTTTTTTTTGGGTACTCAATTGTAAAGTTAAATTCATTACATAAATATGCATTTGAACTATATTAGACTGAAAATGGCTGTTCAATCCTGACTAAACGTGGCCATCTTTTTTTTTTTTTTAATGTTCAATCCTAAAGTTTATTTTCCGAGTACATTGATCATCATAATATGTCTAGAAGGTTATCAAGATAAAATCCTACTTTGGGTTCAATTACACATAATCAATGAATTAACCATATTTTGAAGTCAATTACACATTTATTGTTTTTCATTTTGTGTGTCCAATCTCCAAATAGGAAGGTTTCTGAAAGGTTAATTAATTAGGGCTAATTTTTATTTTTTAACTTGTAAGCTTAAAACTACCATCACTTAAAGCTAACAACCTTATGGTAACTCTAGGATGGTATCTGAAAGCTTAAAGCTAGTTTTTAGTTGTTAACTTCTCTAGGTGGTATCTAAAAGCTTAAAGCTAACACCTAACATCCCTAGTAGTTGAGTAAGAGCAAAAGGAAATTAGGATTAGTATACATGCTGGCAAGATAGTAATGGATTTCTTCTTAAGTGGACTTGGTCTTCATTTTGGATGTATTTCTTTGTTAATTTTGTATCATCTAGCAAAATTAAGATGCTTTTATGGCATCAACATCACTACGTGTAGATGATTTTTTTTTTTTCCCGTTTTGGTATCAGCACTTTATAAACTAGTATCCCTTAATCAAATAACTAGTATAAACAAATCAAAGAACTAGTTTTATACATAATTCATAGTTTATAACTAGTGGTATATGTTAGGACCGGGCCAGGAAATAGACAAACTCAAGTTAGCACAAAGTAGGCGGTATAACCGACCATATAATAGATAGGCGGTAAATACCAGCCATATAATAATTAGGCGGTAAAACCGACCATATAAAGACGGATAACAAAGCAAATAAAAGACACAGAAGATTTACGTGGTTCGATCAAATTGACCTACGTCCACGGGCGAGGGAGGAGCAATATTTCTACTATGAAGAAGAAATACAAAAGCCGTAGGAAAGTGGTTCCTAGGCCAATAGGCACTTACAAAAGAGTTTAGAAAAAATTCCTAAACTCAAAACAAGAGAGCCTAAAATATTTGACTAAATGGGCTAAATGACTCGAGAAGCTAATAGCCCATATAACTCTCTTGAGTGGTGCGAGTTGATCCTTCAATAGACTCCCTTATTTATAGGAAACCAAAGGAAGAATTCCTTTGGCTTCTACCGATATGGGACGAAGCACCAAAAGCATTTGGTCAACAAATGCGGCTTCAACAAATCTCCACCTTGATGAGTCCCCAACATCGAGAGATTATAAACTTGCTCCACCTTCTCCATATAAGCCCTAATGGGCTTAAATCACCAACAATGAACACCAACCAAATCCAAGCACTGCTTGAACTTGTAAACTGGAAGAGGTTTCGTAAACATATCGGCTGGATTGTCCTTAGTATTGATTTTCTGAATAAGGACTTTTCCCTCAGCAATGATATCCCGAATGAAGTGATACTTCACATCAATGTGTTTCGTCCTCTCATGATACATCTGATCTTTAGTCAAGTGTATGGCACTTTGACTATCACAGTGAATATCAGTAACACCTTGATATAGACTTAGCTCGCTAAATAAACTCTTCAACCACAAGGCTTCTTTGATTGCCTCGGTCACAGCCATATATTCTGCTTCTGTAGTAGACAAAGCTAGGACAGGTTGTAGAGTATCTTTCCAACTAACAGCGCAACCGCCAATGCAAAATATATAGTCTGAAAGAGATCTTCTCCTGTCAAGATCTCCAGCGTAGTCTGAGTCTACAAAACCAACCAAAGTATTATTATTTCTTCCAAACTCCAAACATGCATTTGAAGTACCTCGCAAGTATCTGAGAATCCACTTCACAGCCTGCCAATGTGTTTTACCAGGGCAGGACATATATCTGCTAACAACACTGACTGCTTGTGCAATATCTGGACGAGTACAAACCTTTGCATACATAATACTGCCGACTGCACTGGAATAAGGAACCCGTGCCATATAATTTTCCTCTTCATTTGATTTTGGTGATTGAGCAGCAGATAGCCGAAAATGGCTAGCAAGAGGAATAGATACTGATTTAACATCTTTCATGCCAAAACGCTCCAAGACTTTCTCAAGGTAATTTTTCTGGGTCAAAATAACTTTCCTACTCCTCGATCTCGATTGATATCCATGCCAAGAATTTTCTTAGCTGCTCCCAAATCTTTCATTTCAAATTCACTATTTAACTGCAGTTTCAAGGTGTGAATTTCTGACAAATTCTTGGCAGCAATGAGCATGTCATCAACATAAAGCAGCAAATAAATGAAAGAACCATCATTTAACTTCCGGAAGTAAACACAACTATCATACATGCTCCTCAAATAACCATGACCCAACATAAAGGAATCAAACCTTTATACCATGTCTTGGAGACTGCTTCAATCCATATAAGGATTTCTTCAACAAACAAACATGGTCTTCCTTACATTCAATTTCAAAACCCTGGGGTTGTCTCATATAAATTTGTTCTTCAAGTTCGCCATGTAAGAAAGCTGTCTTAACGTCGAGCTGTTCTAACTTCAAATTATACATGGCAACTAAAGCAAGCAAAACACGAATAGAGCTATGTTTAACAACAGGTGAGAATATATCATTAAAATCAACACCTTGTACCTGACTATAGCCCTTTGCAACTAATCGTGCTTTATACCTTGCATCTTCAACCCCTGGAATACCTTCCTTTTTCTTGAAGACCCACTTGCAACCAACAATTTTCTTAGCTGACGGCGGCTTTACAAGAACCCAAGTTTCATTCTGATGAAGAGATTCAATTTCTTCATTCATCGCAATCAACCACTTTGCAGAATCATCACAAGAAACTGCTTCTGAATAGGTGGAAGGCTCACCAACTGCATCAGTTTCTTCTGCAACAGACAAAGCATATGCAACTAAATTTGCATATCTTTGTGGTGGTCGAATGTCTCTCCTTTGTCTATCTCTGGCTATGGAATACTCCTCTTCTTCTGAACTATCTTCAATAGTAGATTCAAGTGCATCTACTGGCACTTGCTGA